TACTTCTAACTGGAGATATGGGTTGGGTGGACAAAAAGATGGGTTCCTTTAAATAGGTACCCATTGTGCGATGAAAACTCTGGATCGGACTTCTAACCAAGAAAGTCTTAAAAAATTATGCCAAAATCCTTGTAGGATAAATAATTTGTCTTAATCAAGTCAAATCCCACAACTTGGACAGCCAGGGAAGTGAGTATAACAATGCTTAACGCATCTGCTGCTTGATTCTTTGCTCCTTGCCTATGTTTGATTACAAAAGTGTACTCTTGCAGGAAAGCTGTCCAACTTGCATGACGGTGGCTAAGTCTCCTATGAAAATTGATATATTTAGGAGTCTCGTGGTTAGAGTAGAGGGAAAACTCTTATGGGAGTAGATAGTAATGCCAGTGTTGAAGTGCTTGGATGATGACAGTTTTTTATGGTACGTGGTATTCCTGTGTTTTGCATCATTAAGCTTCTCAATAAAATAAACTATTGGATATCCTTTCTGACTAAGTACGCCACTAATACCTACTTTTTATCTCAAAAAAAAGTACGCCACTAATACCTACTTGAGATGCATCACAAGTCACTTTAAATAACTTGGAGAAGTCAGGAAAATGTAATATTGGTGCTTTTATCAATTTCCTCTACACGATCTCAAAAGCTATGGACGTTGTTTTGATCCAAACAAATTTTCCATTCTTCATGCAATTTGTATTAGATGCTATCATAATGTTAAAGTCTTCAATACATCTTCTCCAAAAAAAGCCAACCTTTGGAAACTTCGGACTTCATATGAGTTCTTTGGGGTTGCTATTCTTTGATAGTTTTAACTTTTTCTAGATCAACTTTTTCTTCTTTTGGAAAAGACAACAAATCATAGGAATACAATACTGATGGTCATGAATGCACATTTTTTAGGGTTTATATAGAATTTTTCTTGGCGAAGTACTCTCATAACTTGTAAGTGAAAGATGTGTTCCTCCTTTGATTGACTGAAGATAAGAATATCGTCAATATATACGACAAAAAATCTCCTGTTAAAAGCTTAGAAAACTTGATTCATGAAGCGCGTGAAGATAATTGGGGCATTAGACAATTAATGACTCGACTAATCATTCATACAAGCCATCTTTTGTTTTGAATGTTGTTTTCTATTCATCTCATGATCTTACGCAGATTTGGTGATATATGCTCTTCAAATCTATCTTGGAAAAGTATGTCAAACCTGCCATGACATTTATCATGTCATTAAGACGAGATATGGGAAACCTATTCTTGATGGTAATCTTGTTGATCGCATGACTATTAACATACATCCTCCAGGTTCTATCTTTCTTAGTTGTGAAATGCTGGCATAATACATGGGCTTAAACTTTCTCGTATAAATTCTTTTGGTAGTAATTCATCAATTTGTCGCTTAAGCTGAACATGTTCACTTGGATTTGTGAAGTATGCCGGCAAGTTAGGCAATTCAGATCTAGGAACTAAGTCAATCACATGTTGAATGCTATGAGGTGAAGGAAGTTTATTTGGCAAGTTTGGTGGAGCAATGTCAGAAAAGTTAGACTAATGTCTAATAACTTTTGGTAGTATTATTTCTGTTGAACAAGCTACTGGTTCCTTTACCTCTGGACTTATTATAGCATAAACAATTTTTAATTCTTTGTTTTTCGCTTCAAACTGCTTTCTTTACAAAAAGTGGAGTTGTTTCTTTTTTATTAGTTGTTGCAAACTTTGCGGTTTTATTGGCTTTGAAAATTTCGATATCTTTTGTGCTTGTAGGTTCCAAGAGAATGTCTCTTTTTCCCATAGAAAGGGAGTATATTTTCCTTCTATTATGATGTACATTGCGATCATATAGCCAAGGGTCAAGGAGGATGAGTTACTTGCATGTGAATAACATCACATAAGATGATATCTTTATATTTATCATATTGGAAGAGACAAGATATTGTTGAGTTACTGGAATTGTTGTCATAAATCTATGCTATCTTATATAGGGAAGCTTGTAACGCTCTATGGTTGAAGCCGACACTACATTCATGCAACTCCTCCTGTTGATACAAGCTTTTTGGCTTTTGGTCCATAAATAATAGGAGTTTGGAATATAGTAGTATGACACCAATCTTCTTCCTCAACTTTCGGTGTTGCAAGGATTCGCCTAAATATAGATATACGGGAAGCATTCACTTGACAATCATCATCAGCTAAGTCATCATTATCAAGGGAAACATCGTCTATATTATCTTCTTCCTCTTCCTCCATTCTGATATGTTTTTTTTTCTTTTGAGGACATACCATTTGACTCTGTCTCCCACACTTGAACTAGACTATTCTTTTTGCATCTGTATGAGAATTGATTTTTTCTGAGTTGAAGTTCGTTGTGCAGAACTTGCTTGCTCGTATAATTTGTTCCAGATTTTCTCTTGAGGGGTTTTCAAGTTTCTTTGAAGTTGGATATTTCGAGTAACCTTCTATATCCAAGATACCTTGATAAATTTGGGATGTAGTTATAGGAGGTTGTCGGATAAGTTCTCTTTTGATCTTGACTCTTAATCCTACCTTGAATTGAGATGCCGCTTAATTATCATTTTCAACTAGTTGACTTCAAATTTTTAATTCTTCAAATTTCTGTATGTACTCAGTTTCATTTCATTCCACGTTTCAATTTTTGGTTGTCCATTGTTATATTCTCATCAATGGTATTTTACCATATTTTTGCAAGTCCAAGTAATTTCATCTTGGCAAACCGAACTCTTTGTACCAATTAAAGTATTCTTCAATTGCAATAAGCCAATCGAGAAAGAAATCAGGATCCCTTCTTCCATTAAGATCAGGGGCTTTCGACCTTTACCTTCTTTGTAATGTCTTTAGTATTGTCTTCAACATATCTTTTAGCAGG